AAGTGACTCCCCCCTTGTTGACAGGAAGAGCTTGTTTTGGAGACACTACCCATCCCCCTTTCAGATGACGTAATCATGAGGGCATAGCTTATTCTAATGTTTTCACTTATGCATACATGATGCCAAGGGTTCAAACTAAATATCGAATGGTCACACAAGTGTCAGCTCAGTGCCAGCTTGAATATCTGGACACAATGTTTTTGATAGATTAAAATAGGGGTGTCCTTAAAAAATAGCCCCCGACTTAATATAAATCAGGCAATCCAAATCTTTGACTGTTGATCATGACGGGAAGTCATCCAATACTATACTGAACATATTTTATATGACATTATCTGAAGGCATAGCATTATCCAAGAGGTACCAAAAGATAACTCGTTTTTCATTTACTGCAATTTTGTTAGAAATATTAGACCCCAATGTGTTGTGATGGCAAATATCTGGTTAACCACATTACCCACATATGTGAATTTTGGATATGGCTTTGCTAACGATTCCTTCAAAAGATAAAGGAAGCTTTTCAAACATTGGACATCGAGAATATATTTAGGCTACGTACTTTTTGATCGACCCTAGTATGCTCCAACATTGGGTTGACACCGTGATATAACAGCAATACTGATCAAACCAAGCTCATTTAGTCACTTGTCAAGTTTTATTGCTACACATCTGAGCCCTGCATCATTTGAGGCTCACCTCCAACATTGAGCTGACACCGTCATATAACTGCAATACTGTGTAAAGCGGCATTAATCCCATCTCACTCCCAAGTCTCATGACGATCAATAAGTCCCTCACTACTTTGTGGATCGATGCAACGGGCGGCGAAGCTTCCTCCAACGGACGAGGCACTGAGACATCAGGACAACTGGATCAAAATTAACCTTCAACTAGCAATAATGGCCAATTTAATTATTGTCTGAAACCAGCTTGTCCCTGATGATTTTGCTTTTCAGTAATAGTACATATTTGATTGAGTGAGTGAGTTCCAAAAGTAATTCAGCAATATCGCGTCGTGGGAATTGTAAGCACTCGTTGCGGGTTGAACTTGAACTATACATATGGAAATTAATTAAGCCACACCCGTATTTTCTCAGACTGAGCAACTTTAATGAACTGGTGAAAAAAATGTGTAAAAAATTTCATGCAACATGAATTTTGTTTTCAAAAGAAAGGGCTGAGGAGAAACATATCTAAGATTACTATGACATAATCTGGTCAATTTGAAGACGGTACAGATTTGGAAAATTTCATGCAAAAACCTTACGAATTGCCAATTTTTTTTGCCACGCACACATCTTGTTCCCTGCACTATGAAGAATAATGTCTTGCAAGGCCAAGTACTGGCCTTTCCTCAGTATCTTGTGCAACCTAACTGCACTCGAACAATTGATTCTAGGCGCCTCCTTATTCCTTGGATGAACCTCCGGATTTGATTCTGAGGAATCCTGTTCCATTCCTCATGCAAAGCAGCAGTCAATGTATTGAGAGTCTGGACAGGTGGGTCTCTCTTTCGAACACGACGGCCTAAGTTGTCCCACAGATGCTCAATGGGATTGAGATCTGGACTATTGACTGGCCATGGGATGGTCTCAACAGTATTCTGTTGCAAGAACTGGGTGGCAGCACGTGTTCTGTGAATTCTGGCTAATCATCCAAAAAGATCAAAATTTGGGAAAACAGCCTTCTCAAGGATCCCCTGTTGATACCGAGGCCCATTAAGGTTACCCCGAATGTTAATGAGGTCCATCTTGCAGCCAAAGGAAATACATCCCCATACCATGACTGATGCCCTCCTTGATATTGCGGGCCCCATCACTGTGTTTCTTTGTCTCCAAACATGTGTACAACTATCCACCATATGCAATATGAAACGACTCTCATCGGAACCCTACGCCGTGATGCATAGTGAGTGAGTTTAGTTTGAGGCCGCTTTAAGCAATATTCCAGCAATATCACGGCGGGGGACACCAGAAATGGACTTCATACATTGTATACAAGTTTTTAATCGAACCCGGACCTTCGGCGTTATGAGCAAACGCTTTAACAACTGGGCTACCCCATGACCCCTGACCATCATTACATCTTTAAAAACTTAACTTAGTCCATGAATATTGTAATCTTGATCACATGCAAAATGAAGCTCTTTGAAGGTTTCTTAAAAATGCACAGAAAGGTTCGAATTTTGCTAAACATGAAGAGAAAGATGATTTTGGGGATGTTGACGTCATCTCTCCAGTTGAGTCATTTTGGTATTTTATTGTACTGTGAATCTGCATGAAAATATGAAACAAACGAGACGGTCTCTCTGATCTCCTTTACCAATATTTCAGGTGGGCAATTCAGTCAAAAGGATTTGATTGTAATGTTAAATTTTTTAACTAAACAAAATCAGATCATAGATATACCTGAAATTTAACTTCTTGTCTGGATGATATTGTAACGTGTTCTATTTGGGATTTCACTTTCTCAGTAAAGTACAGATTCTAGTACTTTTGTTGGGTTGAGTCCCATCCGGGATTCGATCCCACGCTCTCAGAGTCAAGCATCTAATCGCCAGGTGATATTGTCTTGACTTTGTCAAGCAGAACTGAAATGCCTAGTCTCATGACTAAAGAAACACATATCAGCAAGAAGGGGAGCACGATGTTCTGAAACGTGCGATGTCAACATTTTCGGATCCTTCGTTTAGAGAAGACGAACTTTTAATAGTGACCGTCAAACCCGTCCTTAACCCGTTTCATCAAGGGCGGTTGGGCGGTGGGCTTTAGTGGTTAAAATGTGTGAAGCCCATTTCTGGTGTCTACCGCAGTGATATTGCTGGAATATTGCCTGAAGCGGTGTAAAACCATACTCACTACATACATACTAATATTTGTATAGCGCCAATATCTACTTTGACTGCTCAAAGGCGCTTTGTTTTCCCTCGATCATTGGTTGTCAATCTCAACGGCGCATCGTAATTTCAATCTCAACTCCCTGGGGATCATGCAACACTTGCAGCCATTTAGGCGCACCATGCTTACTAGGTACCCATTCACAGCTGGGTGGACTGGGACACATAGTCACAGTAATTTGTCCAGGTTTACTGCACGTTGCTGTACCCGCAACTAAATGGAATACGTGCAACCGTCTGGTCATTTACCAACGGATTCGTGGGTTCTTTTAAGTGCACTGGATCGTGTACTGTACACTAGGGGTTGTGACAACACTGAAAGAGTCTGCACACAAAGATGACTCCAAGGATTTTTTACACCCAGTGACAGGTGGGCTCAATCCCGGCACGCTGGATCACTAGCCCGGCGCCTTAGCTAGCTCGCCCACCCGCTTCCATCCACCCCGCACCAAACAAAGTCACCCCCTCCCCATCACCATCCACCCTGCCCACCACCCCCTTGCGTTCACGAATTATGGCTCCCCAACACCTGTATATTCGTATTTAGTATGTCTACAGCGTTTACATTAATATTACCCAATAACATCGTTAATACATAGACAACGTAATTGAACACTACAGTCAAGTGTGTAAATATACATGGGTAATATACACCATTATTTTAATGATTACTTTAATAATAAATGCCTTTCGGGATGTTATTTAGGGTAGAATTCACAGAACATTCTAGGGTTACAGTATTTGACATGGTAACTATGGCAACAATTCTTCGTACAAAACGTATTCGATTCCGTTGTATTTGAAACAAAATACATCCGTAATTATTTATATCCACACAAACGTTTTGTGTATTGACGCATACATTAAGGGGATAGCTTATCTCCTGGCTTTCTTAGTGAACTCGTTACACCGTATACTTTGAGGGGTGTTCACTGTTAAATCGGAGGCAACTAAGAAAACCATTTAAAAACCTCTCATATTCTGTGGTCATGAATGATTCATGCTTCAAAGGATGTTTTTAGTGATGTACATACGTCTATTACGTCATCGCATTCCTGAAAAGATTTAAAACTGCCATGAAGAATTGAATTAGAAGTATTTACATATTTTATAGGAATATAATGATATGAATTTTTATTTATTTTCTCTTTGTGTACATATTACCTCTTTTGTCAAAGTTTTGTACTGGTGGCAATTGGTAAGATATGAATATATATTATATGTATTGAATATCATATGTGATAAATATTTATTCTACTATGACATTAAAGGAATGATGTATTTTGAATTTATAATTTTTATTAAATATGAAGTGGTTTATGACCGAGGACTACTTCTGAATGAACCACTGCACTGAATACGAGCACAAGAGAAAGAGCTTGTTTTAAAATTAGATTTTAGTCATGTTAGGATGGAGATAAACCTAATCTGTTAGAATTTTGAGGTGATTCGTCGTTGATTTCATATTGGCCGCTGTATGAGAACTAATGTTTGAACTAATGTTTGATGAAATGATGTGATGTGTGATAATGTGCTATGATCCAATAACATAAATGACAAATATATAACTGTATGCTCATTGGCATTGTATAAATATGTCAAATAACGTGCAACGAATGATGTGAAAAATGTTGAAATAGTGACAAACAAATAAATGGGTGGGGTGGGGGTGGGGGTGTCCGGGGATTTTGTCCGTTTTTTTGTCCGGTTACCCTAATCTTTTCCATGTAAACGATTGACTTTAAATGAATGAATGAATGAATGAATGAATGATTGAATGAATTGGAGGAATGAATGTCTCAGCTATTAGTTAGGCACCATCTTGAATTGTAACCGGCGCGGACGTGAGTTGAAGGCAATTTAAAATCCTAGGGGTTGAAACAACTAGCGTGGTTGAATTTTACAAATGTGAAGACGATGTAAACAGTTCAGTAGTATTTAAGCTCTCATGTCAGCATGTCAACAATCAACATTTAACGTTTTAATCATATTTAAATAACAAGTACAAACTAAAATTAGGCATTCTGTTTTGTTTTCATCCCAACACAACTATGTATTCTTGCCCGTGCGTCTTCAAATGAAAAAAAAAACGAAAAATGAAACAAACGTCAGAACATGAGTTTATATAAGGATACAATCAAACATGAAAACATGAAGACGTTCTATATACAAAGTGAATACAAACACCAAACAGACTCTGGAGTTCCTGTCATTCTAACATTAATTGCTTTTCCAGCAAACTAATTAGTGCAGTTCTATAGAAGAATAAGAACATGACGCTCTAGGCAACAGGATAATCTGCCTTTTGTCAAACATTAGAAATGCGTAATCTGTAAGACGATCTCACTGAGTAGAAGATTATAGATAAAATTTGTTAAAGAAATAACACTTCAATGAAAGATCGAAGCTCATGTATAATTTCACGTGGAATCTGATCACATATATTGATATTTCTGTGGTTGGAATAATAATATAACCATTATTTGAACATTTAACATTTATTTGACTTGTTCAATTATTAAGGGGTATGTTCACCAGCCAACAATAGTACGGTATGCGTGTAAGTAAAGTCGAGGTCATGTCCCAGAACACTGAAGTAAACAATAGGATATACAACATTAGTAAGGCGCGAGTCGGTGTCAACAGTGTTATACATTATTGTTACATCATTTCCGGCACGTGACACAATCTCCACACTTTGCGCATGTTCTCTGTCATGATGGCGCCTGATCAGTAAGGCGCGAGTCGATGTTAACAGTTCGTGTTATGCATTATTGCTACGTCATTTCCGGCACGTGGCACAATCTCCACACTTTGCGCAAGCTCTCTGTCATGATGGCGCCTCAATAGTAGGACGAGAATCGATGTCAACAGTTAGTACTATGCATTATTGTTACGTCATTTCCGGCACGTGACTCATTTTCCATACTTTGTTCAAGCTCTCTGTCTTGGTGGCACCTCTTGTCCGAGGGAGAGATTCCCGTATAAAAAATGTCTGGAGCTGGGATCAACATCAGCTCCACCGTGGTGTGTCTGCTAGACTGGGTTCACGGATTTTCACCTGGCTCTTGTCAGCGATGGTATCAAATGCCACCAAGATTACTGACAGTTATCACGACCCAAATGCGTTATTCATGAAGTACAATAGCGCTGATATTTTCTTCGATTATCTAGAGCGCAGGAACAATTTAAGAATCATCCAATGTTCACAACCAAAATACACGTGACTTCCTCGAACCGTACCGGAACGTATGTTTCACAGTCGTAAAAAAATATAAGGTATCCCAGTTTGGCCCACAATCCATACACCATGTCCATGTTATGAGGGCGCCAACCTCTCCCTTTTAGGCATCCCTTCATGCCTCTTAACCTGTCTTGGCATCCATTTTGAGAACTCTTCAGTCATATCAGTGAATCAGCTTGTACGAGCAAATTAGATGGGATATTTTTTATATAGAATGTATGAGAAGGTGCAGATAATCGTTGGGCTAAATATGTTATTGATTTGTCACTCTTTGCAAGAAAAAGAGACGGAAAATAAAATTCACTTCTGAAGACATGGCAGATGAATACCACATAATCATTTCATGCACCTGAACACCACTTATTAGCGGTCGGCATCCGGTACACCATACGCGAGTTGGCACCCTGTGACGTTGCCACTTTTGTCTTTCCTGTTCCTGAACGATAAATTTCCATTACAAAATGGTTGTTTTCAGCCGAAAATACACTGATAGAAACAAATAAAGGAACAGATGCAGGTACAGGAGTTCCCGTATTCATTTCCAGGGTTTTTTGCTTTGTCTTGCACTGAGGGTTGAAATAAGGGAATAGATATAGGAGTACTTGTAATTTCATGTGTTTCTTTTATTTGTTTCCATCAGTATATAGAGCACCAAATTCTTTATTTTAACCCTTCCTCTTCACCAGTCTTGTTAATCCTAAGGCCAAGTGTTTGATTTACAAAAGGTCCGCGTCACCATTACTATTTACACGAGTTATCCCCCTTGGTTTGCGTGTGTTGTGATGGGTTACATCTTCTCGACAGTTGTCGGCCTTGTTGAAGGATCGCTGGAGGATAGACTGATGACCGGTGACGTTGACGGACCGGTGTTGATGTCGTCGTATTCGCTGTCGCATTTACTTGCATCATCCAGTTTGTTGTTACGCCTGAAAATGCAGATTTAAGACCAAATATCAAAGATGATGATACACAAGCGAAAGGGTTGCACCAGTGGTTGTCACCCGAGTTTAGTCATGTTAGGATGGAAATAAATCTGTTAGAAATCGGAGGTGGTTCATTGCCGATCTGAAACAACGAGCCATTTCAAAATCTAGAACGGAATAGGTTCAGCTTCTTTGAGTGGAATAGGTTTAACTCATTATCAGAAATAATCTTCTCTCAGTGCTTCATGAAAAGGAGTGACTTAAAAAAACAACAAATATATGAATAGGTAAATGTTTAAATAAATCTTTCAATACATCCATCCATACATATATATATATATATATATATATATATATATATATATATATATATATATATATATATATATATATATATATATATATATATATATATATATATATATATATATATATATAAAGAAAGTGATGAGAATACCGAGCGTACAGTAGTACATATATAAGAAGAAGTTTCTGAAATAATCACACGACACGGATCTTCTCCAACATGTTTCACTTTTATCTTCAGGGAGAAGTGATTACAGTTAAACGGATTATGTTATGACGTCAATTTGTCATGACGTCACAATGCAACTGTATACAAATGTTGTGACGCGGCGTTGCCATGACGTCACATTGGCGGCTTTATATTGACAGTACTAGTAGCACAATGAAAACAAGTATAATTCAGACACATTGCGTTACCTATTTAACGATGGACACAATTCTTTGATGAAAAAGTTTTCTTTAGCTTTACGCTGCATGGCGTCAGCAGTATTCATTTTATAGAAAGGGAATATTTTAAATTTTATTTCCTTTCCTGCTGCGCATTTGTCAATGTGAGCGCTTAAGGGGATGCACCTTGTTTTGGGGTCCTTAATCTGTTGTTTATGGACGCGCATTCTGTCCCTCAAGCACTCCGTTTGTCCAATGTATTCTTCATGACACCCTTGGCATATAATAACATAAATAATATGTTTTGCGGAGCAGTCCATGTTAGAGCGTACATGAAATAATTGTTTCCTGTTTTTGAACTTTATACATGAAGTTTCAAGTATATATTCACAAGTTCCACAATTTCCCCGTTTACATTTTGAGACACTGAATTCTGTAGGTTTAATACATGAGTCGAATGTGGCACGTGTCAATATGTGTTTTAAGTTACGGCTTTGGCGTTTACTCTTTATCATTGTTACATTAGCCATAATTCGATTCATTTTCATATCAGCATTTAAAATTGGAACATTTTGTCTTATGATATGAAAAAGTTCCGGATTCTTGGGGTTGTGCGTTGAAACATAGGCCAGATTGACAGTGTTATTTATTTGTTTATCACGAACTTTCAACAGTGTCCTTCTGTCTATGTTTATTGCTCTTTTTATTCCATCTTCCAAGAAGAACTGGGTATCCACGGGACTGTAGATATGATTTTAGTTCTGCAAGTCGTATGTTCCTTGTCGGTATTTGTGACACAATCATGCAGATACGTCTTGCTAAGTTATAGGGAATGCTTCTCTTTATATGACTCGGGTGGCAAGATGAAAAATGAAGGTATTGTTTAGTATCTGTAGGTTTATAATATATATCTGTTTCTAGATTACGTCCACATAGTTTTACCATGATGTCCAAAAATGGAATTTCAGAATAATTTGAGTCCATGGTAAAATGTAAATGTAAACATGAAGATAAAAGTGAAACATGTTGGAGAAGATCCGTGTCGTGTGGTTATTTCAGAAACTTCTTCTTATATATATATATATATACATACATATACACATACATACATACATACATACATACATACATACATACATACATACATACATACATACATACATACATACATACACATACATACATACATACATACATACATACATACATACATACATACATACATACATACATACATACATACATACATACATACATACACACACACACACACACACACATACATACATACATACACACACACATACAAACATACATACACATATATATAATATCAGATATCAACTATGATGATAAACGAGCAAAGGGTTTGCGCCTGTGGTTGTCACCTGTCAACTCTGCTAACAAATACTTGCTTAAAGGCACTCAACAATATTCCAGGTAAATGACGGCTGTCTGTGAATACACGAGTCAGGACCAGACAATGACCAACAACATGAGCATCGATCTACGCATTTGGGATACGATGACATGTGTCAACCAAGTCAGCGAGCCTGACCACCCGATCCCGTTAGTCACCTCTTATGACAAGCACGGGTTACTGAAGACCAGTTCTAACCCGGATCTTCATGTGTCCTTTTCACTTTAAGATCAAACCAATCGTAATTCAATATGTTATCCAGCGAATCTTTAATATGATCACTGCGCCCCTCGCAACACATTATTACACATCTGATTATCCCGCATCGAGAGGGCTCCCTAAAACATAATGAGTGAGTGAGTGAGTGAGTGAGTGAGTGAGTGAGTTGTGCTTTTTATGAAGCTTTAAGTAATCTCACAGCTTATTACTATGTATGCTGACTGATCTGAGAAATTATGTTGAACAGTATCATACATGTAGCCTTCATGCATCCTACATGTAACACCAAGTGGGTGTAACAACCACACATCGGATACAACAGCTATATCATACCTATGTCGTAACTGTAACACCAACATGTCACCTGTATCATCGACAATATATATGTGACACGTACATACCGACTATGTAACCAACACCTACAGTTAACTGTAGCATCAAGATTATACCCATCATGTACCTAATTACAACCATCAACAAAACATCTTATAAACATCCCACAATAATGACAGTATTATGCCTGTTACGTACCTACATACCCCAAAATAACATAAACATTATGCCTGTTACGTACCTACATACCCAATAACGTAAACATTATGCCTGTTACGTACCTACATACCCCAATAACGTAAACATTATGCCTATTACGTACCTACATACCTCAATAACATGAACACTATGCCTGTTACGTACCTACATACCCCAATTACATAAACATTATGCCTATTACGTACCTACATACCCCAATAACAAAAACATTATGCCTGTTACGTACCTACATACCCCAATAACATAAACATTATGCCTGCTACGTACATACATACCCCAATAACGTAAACATTATGCCTGTTACGTACCTACATACCCTAATAACGTAAACATTATGCCTGTTACGTACCTACATACCCCAATAGCGTAAACATTATGCCTGTTACGTACCTACATACACCAATAACGTAAACATTATGCCTGTTACGTACCTACATACCCCAATAGCGTAAACATTATGCCTGTTACGTACCTACATACCCCAATAACTTAAACATTATGCCTGTTACGTACCTACATGCCTCAATAACGTAAAGATTATGCCTGTTACGTACCTACATGCCTCAATAACGTAAAGATTATGCCTGTTACGTACCTACATACCTCAATAACGTAAACATTATTCCTGTTACGTACCTACATACCCTAATAACGTAAACATTATGCCTGTTACGTGCCTACATACCCCAATAACGTAAACATTATGCATGTAACGAGCTAACATACCAGAATAATGACAACAGTATGTCCCACTAGGTACATCAACATTATAATCTGTCACGTACCTACATTTTACCAGTTAATTTGAACATTATACCTGTGAGTGAGAGAATGATGAGGGTTTTCAGTAGAATCTAGACGACGAATATCAGAAATATCCTTCACAAACTGTACTCATGTGGAAAATCGAACCCGGGTTTACGGTGTGAGGAACAAATAAAAACTCCATCGCCCCCATTATATATGTCACATACCTAGTACATACCAGCATACCACAGGTTACATAAACATACGTGTCTTTACAATGTGTCCATATGATGCCCGTGACTTACCTGCATAATACCTCTTGCACCTTCTCCTTGACCGTCTTGTCAGATGCGCAGTAGTTGACGTCCTTGCATAGGCAGAAAAGGAGGACGCCGATGATGATGGCGATGGCGCTGACGATGCCCCACAGCTGCACTTGTTCTATTCTGTTGAACAACAACGAAAAGTTTTGCAGATGATAAGAAATTATCCAATCTCTACGCCTGCTTTTAAGCTATAAAGGAGAGCTTTAAGCTATAAAGGAGAGGAGGGTGTGGTTCGAAAGGTGTCCGAAAAGGTCTAGATCTGAACCTATGATGAGCTGCGTTGATGGAATATGTTACTTATTATTTCTCAGCGTTATCTATGAGGTTCAAGCACTTCTCAATAGTGAGTGAATCCCACTAAAGGAGACGGTTTCCTGCTGGTGGTGTAAACAGGTATTTCACACCCGAAATGATGTCATTACCATTTGCACAACGCTAGCCAGACAGATCTTTCTTCAAGTTTGGGAAAAGGTGGAATTCCTCCCTCTGTGACGACTTTGCAATCTCTGGTGAACAGGGAGGATGTTTGATGAGTTCAGAGTCACACTCATGCATTATAACCATGGCAGTCTTGTGGACAGGTAAGCCATTCGGGTGGAACAACGCGCCATCGAGATTCCTTTGGAACCGATGGATCGGATTTTGCCTTCAAATATAGAAGAAAGTTTTGCTTTGAAAGTTTTTCAGTCTTTGACTGATCTTTGCCAAAAATCAGCTGGGTCTGCTGATAAGAGATGTTGAACCTGGGACATTTCCATTTAAGAGTGAGAAGACTTGGACATATCCAATTAGAACCTCAGAATGTTCTCAACGTATGCGAGATGGCTAGTATACTGGCCTGTTGTCTATCACCCGCAATAGCATCATTTATATTTTACAGTTTCAATAATGGTTGTCTGAAATCTTGGAAGACATATCCAATTTCAGCCTCAAAATGTTCTCAATTCATGTCCAGTGTACTGGTGAGTTGTCTTGAACCCGTAATAAAATCATTTATGTTTTACAGTTTCAATAATGGTGGCAGTTGAAGGTTTTCCTGATCATCTCCGAGGTTCTCCTCTTGAACTCAGTTGTCCACCTTTTAAATGTGGGAACGGAATGAGCATAGTCCCTGAAGTTCACACCATTGCCGCATTGATGGGAGTTGGAATCAGCCCTTTAACCTGGCGATACTTTTTCCATTTCTATAACAAAGATTACCTCGTCACTTTGATACCAGTAGGCAAATGGTGCCCGATTGTGTATTGGGTTCAAATGCAGCCTGTAATGATGAACAGTATTGTACTTGATATGTACAAACTCTTAAGGGTGTACTATACACCCTCCTCAGAACTCAGAACGTTTCCACCACCCTCGCTGTTTTGGAAAATAGGATAGACAAAGATGAACATTTGAGATTTCTGTGGGTAGCACTGACAAACATCACTCGTCAAAATCAACATTCTTGATATGTCTGAGGTGGCAGAAAGATAGTAATCGTAATCTGCAGGATCTTTACTGAAGGACGAAGTGCAGTCTAAAGATGAAAGGACGTTTGAGTTCATCACTGGGACCAACACCTTTGATCCCATCTCTGGGTTTAGAAGAAGGATAAATCAATGCAGTGCAAAAATTCGTAATTTCATGCTCCAGAAATGTTCTCCACTCACAGCTAGGAATGCTATGTCCACAACAGTATGGGATTTGAAGAGATATCATATCTGAGGGTTATTTGCAGATCGGGGCGGTGGGGTAGCCCAGTGGTTAAAGCGTTCGCTCGTCACATGGGTACAATGTGTGAAGTTTTTTTCTGGTGTCTGGTGGATATTGCTGGAATATTGCTAAATGCGGCGTAAAACTGAACTCACTCACTCACTATTGAGAGGTCAGTATTTCTCACACCAATATTCCATAGTTGCACAGGCTGCTGTGACTGACGGTGGCCTTGAACAGTTGAATCTTTCTCACACCCATATTCCATAGTTGCACAGGCTGCTGTGACTGAGGGTGGCTTTGAACAGTTGAATCTTTCTCACACCCATATTCCATAGTTGCACAGGCTGCTGTGACTGAAGGTGGCCTTGAACAGTTGAATCTTTCTCACACCCATATTCCATAGTTGTACAGGCTGCTGTGACTGAGGCCGGCTTTGAACACTTAATCCTCCCCCCCGAAGTCCACATTTCCGTAAGCTGCTGTTTGTGTTGGTCAGTAAAAACAACCCCTATCTGCAACTCAGACACTGCCACAGATGACTTGTATCTCTTTCAGCAACATAAGGGTAAAAGGTTTACAGACGGTAATGGCTTGAACTTGCCGTTAGTTAAGGGTAAATGGGACAATTAGTCTGAAGGTCAACTGGACAAAATGCATTGAAATGGAGGGTTATTATATAAAATACAATGGAATCCATGTAAACTGGATTGTTTTTGGACCGAAACGTATGGCCGGTTTTGTCACCATTCCGAATAAGCGAGAATTTTAACGTGAGATACAGACATAGAAAATAAAGATAATGACAAAGTAATGGTACATTTACAAAGTGCATTTGGTACCGTATTATTCAGAGCTCTGTTTCAACTCCAATGCACTTACAAATATACAATGAATTCATCTTTGTGGTCCTTGCTTTTGTATATGAATTGCAGAACATACTGAATGCCACAAAAAATGATTTTAAGAAACTTTCACGTGATCTAAAAGTGGAAAAGGGAAGACCACATGAGTGAGTATGCTTATGCCACAAATATCATGCCTGAAATTGGATTTACTCAATGTATCATTTTCAGGAATCAAATCCAAACTTTCAGCGTCACGAGCGAAGGCCTTTGCCATGGGTTACCCCATCGTCTTTATGAAATGGGCAAAGGATATATTACATATGTTTGTTTATTTGTTGATCATGTCTTCAATACGTAAACGAAATACTTACAAATTCCTGGTGGCAGCTGGCTCGCAACATGTAAAAGAGCTGTCCTTTTCACAACACTCTGGTTTTGTTGCATCCTCGCACTGATAGGTGTTCCCTGTAACGTCTCCAAGCTGCTGGTTCTTCAGACACTGCTTTCCCCAAACCACATCTGCCAACACAATTAAAACACATCAGTATGTTAAAACTAGACAGCAGATTTCAAGCGCTGCTTCCTCCTAAACGCCTTCATAAAAAGCTTTTTTGGCATACATTTTAATATATAATGTGAGTCTTAAATGATAGCTGCTAACTGCTAACGAAATTACATCGTCTCATTAACGTAACTGGACGCCATGTCCAGATGGTGGTTCCTCAAGCTTCAACTGTTTCTTCATCATGTTTAGATGGTGGTTCCTCAAGCTTCAACTGTTTCTTCATCATGTTTAGATGGTGGTTCCTCAAGCTTCAACTGTTTCTTCATCATGTTTAGATGGTGGTTCCTCAAGCTTCAACTGTTTCTTCATCATGTTTAGAGATTGGTTCCTCAAGCTTCAACTGTTTTTTCATCATGTCTAGATGGTGGTTCCTCAAGCTTCAACTGTTTCTTCATCATGTCTAGATGGTGGTTCCTCAAGCTTCAACTGTTTCTTCATCATGTTTAGATGGTGGTTCCTCAAGCTTCAACTGTTTCTTCATCATGTCTAGATGGTGGTTCCTCAAGCTTCAACTGTTTTTTCATCATGTCTAGATGGTGGTTCCTCAAGCTTCAACTGTTTCTTCATCATGTCTAGATGGTGGTTCCTCAAGCTTCAACTGTTTCTTCATCATGTTTAGATGGTGGTTCCTCAAGCTTCAACTGTTTCTTCATCATGTCTAGATGGTGGTTCCTCAAGCTTCAACTGTTTCTTCATCATGTTTAGATGGTGGTTCCTCAAGCTTCAACTGTTTCTTCATCATGTCTAGATGGTGGTTCCTCAAGCTTCAACTGTTTCTTCATCATGTTTAGATGGTGGTTCCTCAAGCTTCAACTGTTTCTTCATCATGTTTAGATGGTGGTTCCTCAAGCTTCAACTGTTTCTTCATCATGTCTAGAAGGTGGTTTCTCAAGCTTCAACTGTTTTTTCATCATGTCTAGATGGTGGTTCCTCAAGCTTCAACTGTTTCTTCATCATGTCTAGATGGTGGTTCCTCAAGCTTCAACTGTTTCTTCATCATGTCTAGATGGTGGTTCCTCAAGCTTCAACTGTTTTTTCATCATGTCTAGAAGGTGGTTCCTCAAGCTTCAACTGTTTCTTCATCATGTCTAGATGGTGGTATCTCAAGCTTCAACTGTTTCTTCATCATGTCTAGATGGTGGTTCCTCAAGCTTCAACTGTTTCTTCATCATGTTTAGAAGGTGGTTCCTCAAGCTTCAACTGTTTCTTCATCATGTCTAGAAGGTGGTTCCTCAAGCTTCAACTGTTTTTTCATCATGTCTAGAAGGTGGTTCCTCAAGCTTCAACTGTTTTTTCATCATGTCTAGATGGTGGTTCCTCAAGCTTCAACTGTTTTTTCATCATGTCTAGATGGTGGTTCCTCAAGCTTCAACTGTTTCTTCATCATGTCCAGATGGTGGTTCCTCAAGCTTCAACTGTCTCTTCATCATGTCTAGATGGTGAATTCTCAAGCTTTTACTGTTTCTTCATCATGTCCAGATAGTTGTTCCTCAAGCTCTAACTGTTTCTTCCTGTGTTTAGATGGAGGTTTCTCAAGCTTAAACTGCTTTGTCTGGCCCTTACCATTATTTAGAACTCGTCGCGATATTTCGGGAATATTATTTAATACTGCTTTGATCAGGTTTGTAAATATGCTTCACTCTTCAGGCACATGGCACAATGGTGAGTGCTACCGAAGTATTTTGACGAGCAATGTTAACTAAACACTGTGCTGATAGTGCTAAAACAAACCAGGAATGGTTACTCGATGGTGATGGATTCGATACTGGATTTATACTTGTTGTTGTTGTGGTGTGTGGTGGTGGTGTGTTGTTGTGTGCTTAGGGCTCAGGTCACAATTCAGTTGAAATTAAGCAACGTTGGGCACGAAGAGTCTTGGCTTGGTGACTGTGTCACAGCTTGACTCCTGAGAGTTTCTAGGACTTCAGTCCTGCCCCGCATCGAAGCACATGTGACACATGTGGTCTCACCTTAGGCAAGTGAGTTTGTTCAAATTTGCCTCTGTTCACCCAGCAGAAAATGGGTACCCAGTGCGACTATTAACCTTCTAGCGCCTAACATGCAGCTTGGATTATTCGGGGTAATACTGATCAGATTGAGCGTTTTGAGCAGGATATCCAGCTTGGAAAAGGCGAGTTAAATTAATAATAAATATAATAAATTTTCTGTGGACATAAAGTTAGTTAGTTGCGGTGACCATTTATAATAACGTTTTATACCCTTTTACTTGCTGTTGCTCGTCAGTGCATGTCGAGTTGTTTACTGAGCTGCGATTAAAGTGACAAGCGTTTTCCCATGTTGATACATCAATCACAGGGTTAGTAATACAATATTGGCCCATGGGAAACATGTTCAACCTGCTGGTGGCTAATTAAACAACGCTAAGTACATATGCCATTGTACACGTGAACCAATCGTGTACAAGGACGATGTCAGGGGAAATTTCAGATAATGGATCACATGACAAATATCCGTTAATCAACGCTCTATACAATCAGTTGTTTTTCTATCGCTCAGGGGCTGCGTCAACATCCTCAGTTTTGGCGAACACCTGGTGTCAATATCAGTTTTCAGTGATCCGTTCATCTATTTTGATCGCTGTATTGCCTTTGACAGAAAGACAGATTTATTCAATAAAGAGGCCTTGGGCCCATGATACATACTTTCTTGGTGATATCATGTAATAAATGAGTGAGAATATAGCTGCAGAGCAGGCACAGCTATACACATTTGTAATAAATATTATATGGACAACAAAATGCATTTATAAAGTGTTGGTTATAAATGATGACGAGCCTTACTGTGTACCAGTGATAACTGAAGGGCTAAGTGCTTTGGGTTTATAGTATTGGGTCAGTTTCCATACTTTATATAAACACATACGTATACTATGCAGGGTAGAGACAATACTGTGCACCAGTAATAACTGCAATGCTAAGTGGTTATGGATTAGTAGTGTTGGCTCTCAGTTTCCATACTTTATATAAACACATACGTATACTATGCAGGATAGAGACAATACAGTGTACCAGTAATAACTGCAAGACTAAGTGCTAATGGATTAATAGTGTTGGCTTGATGCTTAATATAATCTGTTTAGGCAGATTACGAAGGTTGGATATACTCTTGCTTCTACGTGCGCACGCACACACACACACACACACACACACACACACACACACACACACACACACACACACACACACGCAGACGCACGCACATGTTGGCTGCATGCGAAAGTAAATGTTCTGTCCACTTTAAAACTAAGGTACTTTTGACTGAATGAGGAACCATCCGATAATTTCCAAACTGTGGAATGATACAAGAATATTTTATAGCCACGAGACATTTATCTTAGGACTTTCAATGTATTTGATTTCTTTGCATTTACTGTAGGTCATGTGGGCAATTAAACACTGAATTAAATGCTGATCGTTAAAATATGAACTAATAACGTTTAAAACTTTCTCCAGCTTCTGGAACTGTCGATTTGGATATGCATTGATGTTTGATGGAGTGATGGTTTCCTTTTCTGTTAAATGATCGATATGTGTTGTTTATTTTGACAGCATTGCTGGTGGAGGACGTTATCTTCATGTTGTTACCGACGTCACACCCAGGTGTAAACGATATGTCAGTCACTAGGCAACGTGTTATAGATTGAAGCCATTGTATTTATAGTCTTAGTACGACAGTAATGACATGCCATACAGCATATTTCAAAACAATTTTAGCTGCGATATCATGAATAACCACACTTTTTAATAGTGTATGAAATGTGACTTTTATAGTAGTTGCTTCCATGAAATTTGAAACGTCAACTTCAAGTTCAACGAGAAAAATCGATTATGGGTCTAAACATCTTCAACCGGGTCAAACAATTTTCTATTTGGTGTGGTATTGCATACTAGCGAGTGAGTATGATTTTATGCCACTTTTACCAATAGTCCAGCAATATCATGGCGGGGGACACCAGAATGGGCTTCACACATTGTACCCATGTGGGAATCGAACCCAGGTGTTCGGCGTGTCGAGCGAACGCTTTAACCATTAGGCTACACCACCGCCCCTGTCCGCCACAGGGTGACAAGCATAGGTTAATGCTGACCAAATGTAACCCTTAAGTTCCAAGGATAGGTTAATGCTGACCAAATGTAACCCTTAAGCTACAAGGATAGGTTAATGCTGACCAAATGTAACCCTTAAGTTCCAAGCATAGGTTAATGCTGACCAAATGTAACCCTTAAGCTACAAGCATAGGTTAATGCTGACCAAATGTAACCCTTAAGCTACAAGCATAGGTTGATGCTGACCAAATGTCACCCTTAAGCTACAAGGATAGGTTAATGCTGACCAAATGTAACCCTTAAGCTACAAGCATAGGTTGATGCTGACCAAATGTCACCCTTAAGCTACAAGGATAGGTTAATGCTGACCAAATGTAACCCTTAAGCTTCAAGCATAGGTTAATGCTGACCAAATGTAACCCTTAAGCTTCAAGCATAGGTTAATGCTGACCAAATGTAACCCTTAAGCTACAAGCATAGGTTAATGCTGACCAAATGTCACCCTTAAGCTACAAGCATAGGTTAATGCTGACCAAATGTAACCCTTAAGCTACAAGCATAGGTTAATGCTGACCAAACTGTAACCCTTAAGCTTCAAGCATAGGTTAATGCTGACCAAATGTAACCCTTAAGCTACAAGCATAAGTTAATGCTGACCAAATGTAACCCTTAAGCTACAAGCATAGGTTAATGCTGACCAAATGTAACCCTTAAGCTACAAGCATAGGTTAATGCTGACCAAATGTAACCCTAAGCTACAAGCATAGGTTAATGCTGACCAAATGTAACCCTTAAGCTACAAGCATAGGTTAAAGCTGACCAAATGTAACCCTTATTCACCACCAGGTTCCAAGCATGGGTTGTAGGGGATGCATGTAACACAGGGT